GAATACTCCTCCATTTCTATGCGAGTGCAAACTTGTACAGCCACTTTGGAAATCAATTGACAGTTTCTTAGACAACTGGGAATAGTTCTACTTTGAGACCTAGCTATACTGCTCCTGGGGATATACCCAAAAGATGCTCCACCATACTATAGGGACACTTGGTCTACTATGTTCGTAGAAGCTTTATTTACAATAACAAGAACCTGGAAAAATCCCAGATGTCCCTCCGCTGAATAATGGATAAAATAAATATGATACATTTACACAATGGAATTTTACTCAGCTATTAAAAACAAGGATATCATGAAATTTGTAGGCAAATATATGGAGCTAGAAACAATCATTCTGTGAGAGGTAATCCAGATCCAACATTCTAAACAAAATATGCACTTACTTATAAGTGGATATTAACTATAAATTATACAAGAACCATACAACAATCCACAGACCCAAAGAAGCCAAGTAACAAGTAGAAGGGAGGATGCTTGAATCTCACTGAGAAGTGGAAATAAAACAGACATCTGGGGTGGATGAAGGGAGAGAACTGGGTGGGAAAGGGGGTTGAGGGAGGAACATGAAGAGTCAAATATGGAGAGAGCTGTGAGAAAGAACTGAAATCAGTGTGTGTGTGCAGGGGGTATCTTTGGGACAAGTTAGAAATCTAGGACAAAGTAAATTCCCAGTAAACTATGAGTCTAGCTAAGACTCCTTGCATTTGGGGATATAAAACATGAAGCTGTCACTTCCTGTAACCAGGAAAGACTTCCAATGGAGGTATGGAGATGCCAACTCAGCCACAAAGCCCTTGATTCACAATTATTCCTGCATATATGATGTGCAGGGATAAATAGGGAGCAGAAAGTGTGGAAATGTACAACCAGTGACTGGGCCAAATTGAGTCCCATGCCATGAGAGAAAGCTCACCCCTGACACTATTAATAATATTCTGCTATATTTGTAGGCAGGAGGGTATTTTAACAGTCATCTGAGTGGCTTTGCCTAGCAACTGATGAAAACATGCAGAGACCTATAGATAAACTTTAGAACTAGGGGAATCTTGTGGAAGAGTAGAGTGGGGAAGATTGAAAGATTCAGAGAGGTCAAAGACAATAGAAGAAAAATTACAGAATCAACTAACCTTGACACTTAGGGGGGCTCACAGAGACTGAACCACCAACTAGAGAGCATACATGGGATGGACCTAGTCCCTCTTCATATATGTAACAAATATACATCTTGGTCCTCATGTGGGACCTCTAACAGCAGAGGCAGGGACATCTCTGACTCTGTTGCCTACGTTTGGATCCCTTACCCCTTACTGGACAGCCTTGTCTAGCCTCAATAGAAGAAGATGCACCTAGTCCTACTATAACTTGATTTGCCAAAGCAGATTGATAGCCATGGGATATCTTCCTTCTCTGAAAAGTAGATGAAGGCAGAAGAGGAAGGACAGGAGAGGGAGGAAATGGGAGAAAAGAATGGAGGGACTTTGATGGACATGTAAAGTAAATAAATAAATTAATGAGTAAATTTAAATAAATAAGCAAATAAATAAATTTGTATTCTCAACAAAAATGTGTTTTAGAAACCTATACATTGGGGTTATTTATTTTTAATAATGTTTTATGACCTTTTTGAAATTTTAATAAAGATATGCAATGTATCTTGTTCAATCTACCCCTATTTTCTTCCCCCAATTTCTACTAGTACCCCTAAACATCTTCCTCCCAATTTCATGTTCTTTCTTTTCTTTTATATTTATTTTATATGTATCAGTGTTTGCCTGCATGTATGTATGTGTTCCACACACATAAGGAGTGCCTGTGAAAGTCAGAAGAGGGCATTGGATTCCATAGAATTATGATGGCTTTGAGTCACTATGTATGTCTTGATAATCAAACCTTAGTCCTCTGCAATAGCAACAAGTGTCCTTAAGTATCAAGCTGTGTCCCCAGTTCCCAGCTTCTTCTTCTCCTTCTCCTCCT